CGCCCGTGAGCCCTGGCAGGTCGCGGTGCCCCGGCAGAGCTCGGCAGTCCCCGCCGGGGATGCCTCTACGGGCAGATGCTCCTGCCCATCCTCCTGCCCAGCCTTTCCCTCGCCTTCCCCGCGGAGCACACCCTGACGCGGCGAACAGAGCTGTCCCTTCGCACTGGCAGGGGACAGCCAGGCACGGCAGCCACCACTTAGCCAGAAATCAGTTTTGCTCTTTGGTTCACAGTTAATATATAAAAAACTTTTGGAGAAACTGAGTGGGAACTACATATTGATTTTACATGGAATCTTTTCATTAAAAAACCCAGGACGGTATGGTTTTGTCTCAAATGAAAGACTTGTGTAACAGCTCAAATCAAAATGTTGACAGTTTGAATTTCTTCTTCTACAGCTTTTACCCTTCCATATGACCTCAGTAGTCAAAAGTGCCTTTTGATTTTATCTAGCTATGTTCATTTGTCTTGGATCTTGACCTTACTACAATTAGTCATCACTGAAGCTACAAAATATATGTTGGATGATACAGCAGCACGAGCCAGGTCCTCAGATCTGTGGGTCTGCTGCTCTGTTTCTACCCTTGCTATAGCAGGCAGCAGTTCTGGTCTGGGTTACAAGGTTATGATGTTCCTCGTTTCTTCAGTAAGTTCCATTGTAATGTGCTCGTCCCTGACCCACAGTGGTGTCCTCAGAGCAGTGAACCTCCAGTGAGAAATTTGCAGGGTCCAAATGCTTCTTCATGATGGTGAATTTTTGCCTCCTGCCCTCTCCAGGATGCATCAGCAGGACATTGCCAAGGTCTGCCAGGAGTGACCTGCACCAGAGGCACCAACTTCAAGGGTGGGAGCAGAACCCAGAGGAGTGGGGAGCGCTGAGCCTGGTCTGTGCACACCATGGGGGCAAGCACCTCCAGCAAGTCACCACCCTTTGATGGGAATGAGGATGGTAAGAGCTTTTCCTCATTGTCTGGGGCTGCTCAGTACCCCCGAGCAGGTTGTGACTGTGAGGGCCTGTCCTGGGTCAGCAAAGGTGTGTGGAGGTCAGCAGCAGCAGTGTGACCGTGGTCCCTGCAGAGCTGTGGTCTGGTGGTGAGGTCCTTTCACCTCCTCTCACAGCAGCTGGCTCTGGGAGCAGGACTGCGGCAGAGGTTTGGTGTTGAAGTGTCCCTGGGACACTGCCAGGCACCTCGAAGGCAGGGACAAAACGCTGCTGCTCTGGAGGCTGAGGAGCTTTGTTCTGGAGGTCCCAGTGTAGGAAAGACTGATAGGAAGTGTGGTGAGAAGGTGGCTGGAGCGATGTGTGTTCCCATGGGGGTTCCTGTCAGCTGCCCAGACGGGCAGTGCTGCCTGCAGGGAGGCCAAACTGCAGGCTGGGTCAGCTGGAAAAGGAGAGCTGGAAAAATGCTGCTGGGAGCAGAATGGGAGGCCAGGGTCCCTGTGCTGCCAAGATTGCAAAGACAGTCATTAAAAGATTGCTCCATAAATATATTTGCTGTTGCATGAGTCAGCTTGCTGACTGCCATATGGGCTTTCACCTAGGTACAACAACAAAATGCACATGTAGGTAAGTACAAATACATAGAAATGGGGGTAAAATGTCCTAGAACCAGGACCCTCATCAGCCACTGCCCCAGCATGCCTGCAGTGGCTCTTGGGCTAAGCAGTCTGTGGATTTCAAATTATTAAAGCAACTGCCTGTGATTTTAATTTGATTTTCGTGTTTATGATGCAAAAGAAATCCATGCTATAAAGTTTTCCTGGAGATTTTATTCCTGATGCACCTAAATGCTCAGTGTTGGCATGTCTCGTAAACAACCACTTGTGCTAGCTCAGGAGGACGAGCACTTCTCCCGTTCCTGACCACCTTTCCCAGGGTGATGTGCCCTGTCTGTGGGACTTTCTGAGGGTGTCTGGTCTCTTCTGGGTTCAATGTGGTTCGTGCAGCATCAGCTCCAGGGACTGAGAAACACAGCAATGCCAGGAAAGGCCCTGTCCTGACCATCTCAGGTGGTTTGGTGTCAGTGGGCTCAGGGCTACCCTTGCACAGATACAGCATCCAGACTGGTGCAGTTCTGCTTCCATGGCCCTGCCCAAATTTAAAAAGTGGTAGCACATTTTTTTCCTAATTAGATATGTTTGAATATACTGAGAGGAGAGAAACCCAGCTGGAAGAGGGATGTCCCCTATGGAATTTTCCATTATCTTGCAAATTGGTGACCGGAGGCTATATCACCTTAGATGTCACAATCTTGTCCTTATTCTAATTTCAGTTAAAATTGTAATTCATTAAAAGCTGCTGGGTACAGCAGGAAGCAGCACAGTGCTCTGTGGCAGGCAGGTCCCTTCCCTGGGCTGCAGACAGTGGGGACCAGTCCCACCTCTGCAGCTGTGCCACAGAGAGACTTTTCCTTTGGGACCTGTGAGGATCAGTGGAGCGATGCGAGTGCTGTGGGTGCTCTGGTGCCAGTCCTAACACTCTTGCATATTTTCCCAAATTGCTGTTGCTATAATTTCACTGTTTTCTGTGGCGTCATGAGTTTTATTTGAAGATGAACTTCTTGAAGGGCTTTATTTGCCTTTGGCTGAAGCAGGGTGACAATAATATTTTTCCCTCAGTGTTTCCTCCGAGCAGGCACAGTTGTGGATAATAAGCAAGTGAGTTGAAAAGGAAATGTAATAACCAGACAGAAGGTTCAAAGCTCCAAGGTGATCTGACTCCTGGTGCACTTGGATGAGACCATGTGGAAAGCCAGACTTTGCTTGTGCTGCTCCTGGGCCAAGGAGTATGGGAAGCATTCCAGGGGATGGCAGACAGGTCTTCTCTCCAGCTGGCTGAGATAAAGCAGAAATAGGCAGTAGGTGAGGAGAGTGGTGGAGTGAGAAGGACACACATCATCCTGTGGTCCTTTGCTGGTGTCCTCTCCACCTTCCCCAGGGTTGACTGGTCTCTTGATAAGGATGTTTCTTGTGGCTGGTTGGGGGTCTGTATTTTTTTTACTAACTATTGTTCCTTGAACCTGGGTTTAGAAATATGACCCCAGCTTCCAAAACAGTGTTTCATTATTATAATCCAGTTCCTTCTTTATGGCAATTATCTTATCTTCCTTGGCATCACTTAAACATAGTTTGTCTGAGTTCCAGAGCACAAGAGTTTTCTTTCTCAAGGGCAAAAGCCTTGGCTTTTTTTTTGTTGTTATAGATGCCATTAGGCAGGGAAGTGAGGCTTGTCAAATCTGTAGGTGTGGATTCAGAAGGAACAGTATGTGTTTGGTTCCAAATTTGGACAGCAGAAAGTTAGAGCTCTTTGGGAGTGAGACACTGGATTGGGTCCCTGTGAAAGCTGAGGATGGTAGGAAAGCTAAATCAGAGAGAGGTTAAAATGTGCCTGTACCTAGTTTGAGGGTCTTAAATAAAGTATGCAACTTAGCTTTCTTACACTCAGCTCAGTTATAGGCCTATGTTTAAAATGTTAATGGAAACATCACTGTTAAACAACAAGGAGGCAAAGGGTGTGAACATGAATGCATTCCTGTAAAGGACAATAGGGATACAGGGTGAGAATATGCATAAACTGGCCTAACTCCTCTGGACTTGCAGCTGTTTCAGATGTTAATGCTTGGCTGTTAATGCCATCGCCTGCTCTGCTCTGCTGTGCAGAGCCCCAGGAGTGTCCCACTGCTGGGGACTGGAGATCCCCCTCACCCTACAGTCACAGGACTACTGCCCCACCTCTCTCTGCAGCGGGCACCCCTCTGCAGGGGATAAGCACTTTCACTCTCCCTTTTTATTCTGCAGGTATCCACCAGCCTTCTCCCAGTCTCACTGGTAAACCAATCCAGTTAAACTAAACCATCATCAACTTGCATTCGCTCTGATATTTGCAGCTGTTCTGGGTTTGAGGGAGGGCATCTGTGCCTGAAAGCTTGTCTTCCTTCCAAGTGCTGTAGCAGGTCACTGTAAACTTTGCCTTGGTTAGACCATGCCATCCTGCTTGAAAAGGCAATGGCAATGTCTTCACGTGGTATGAGGGTTTTATGGACTAAGCTTTGTGTACGGCCTCAGCAGGAGCAAGGTGAGGCTGTTATCTCCAACGGGCAGGGAAGGAGGGCAGAGGGAGAACACTCACAGTTCCCTGCTTGATCTGCCACTGACAGAGGCTGACCCAGGGAACTTGCCTTTGCAGCTGAGCTCCAGAGTGAAAAACCACCCTCCTAAACCCCAAGTTTAAACAACACCTGAACCTCCAGAAGCAACAGAACATGGCAGGAACATGGTGTCCCTCATTTCTCTCAGCTCATACGGAGAAAACATCGAAATAATGTAATATCATCAAATGTTTGCTCAGCCGTTTAACATTAGAATGTTTGCTCTTTCTTGCAGTCACCTTCGACCACTTCAAGATCTTGCGAGCTATTGGGAAGGGCAGCTTTGGAAAAGTGAGTGTTTTGGGGACAATCACCATGAGGACAGCTGGAGATGTAACTGGTTGGAGATGGGTGAATTGGAGGCTCACATGAGAGTACAGAACCAAACCCCTGCATGGCCTGTGTGCCTTGACCTGAGCTTCAACTCCTAGTAATCAGGAAGGAATCAGAGACCAATTCTTCATCCATTTTGTAGCCACAAATTATATTACAGGAGATTAAAATGAGAAACTGATCAATCAAATGAGCTGAATTTCATTATGTTTCTGAAGAAGCATTTTCTAAGATTTCCCAGCAAATCAACACTGAACATCACGACGCATCTTTAATAAAAAACTACAATCCATATGACAGCCTGGCAGGTTTTTTAATATGCTTTTTAATATGTTAAATGTTTCTCTGTGACATAGGATTTGTTATTAAACATCAGGTTACAGTTGTGCATTTTATTTTTATGGTGTTGTGGAATTCACTGCTTGTGTATGCTGACGGTTCTAGAAGGTCGTTTGCACCCTGATGCCAGAAGTGAGGTGTGCCTTGGGTGCAGAAGGCAGCAAAAATCTCAGAGAGAGGCAAAGAGATTTATCTGGAGGCAAAACAAAATAGCTTGACTGAAACTTGCAAATTTATCCCAAACTCATACACTGCCGAGTAAACAAACCTGAGCCACCAGCCTGTTCCCTCCTGTGCTCCCACAGGCTCCGAGGCTTTCCTTGAAACCATCAGTCAAGTCAGACGAGCTGAATTTCTGTCTGGATTTGGTGGCACAAAGAAGGGCTATTCAAAGCCCAATACGCCCCAAACAAAGGCCAAGGTTTCCTGTGAGCGAGTGATGCTTCTCAGGGAGGCAAGGACCAGGTGCTGCTCCCAGTCCGAGCTGTGGCTCTGTACTGGAAGGGCCAGGAGTGGGAGGGATGGACACAACCATGGCTAGTGAGTGGCATTAAATTAAATGTTGACTTCTGTGCAGCTCCCTATCTACCACCTTGTGGTAATAAATTCCTTCCCCCAACCTTCCCCACAGCGTGATTTTACTTTGGGCGAAAACCAGGCAAGAGATTCCCATGCAGTGTCCAGTGCTGTGGCATCAGCGCGTGGAGCTGCGCCTTGGCAGTGTGGGAGAACGCTCATGTCACCGGGTTTTACCTGCCCAGATTTGCTGACAAATCATCTCTGATTTATCCTGATTTGCTCTCAGGTCTGCGTGGTGCAGAAGACTGACACCAAGAAGTTGTATGCCATGAAATACATGAACAAACAGAAGTGTGTGGAGCGCAACGAAGTGAGAAACGTTTTCAAGGAGCTTCAGATCATGCAGGGCCTGGAACATCCCTTCTTGGTTAATTTATGGTAAGAGCTTGGCTCACAGGTTGACTCAGTACAGTCAGTTACAGACACCTTTGATTGACCAGCTGAGTGGCAAAATGCACACTAATTCTTCCCCCTTTGTTTGATTCAGCATGTTTTCCTGCAGTGGGACAGCAGAAAGGAATTTTAAATAAGCCTCCATCGCTGTTAGTGCCTGCCAGGTTAATTTTATTAGGACGCCAGTACCTTTCCAAGTGTCGTGAGCTCATATACTACATGGCCAATATCCTGTCGTTATAGGATTCCTCTGGGGTGGTGGGTAATTACATTTATTGGATGTTGGATTTATTTTTAGAATGAGGTAGAACTTTCTGATGCTAAACAGAAAAAAAAGAGACTAAAACACACTGAAGATCACAAATCTCTAAATAACTTCCTTTTTGAAATCTCCTGTAACCTGAGTGCTCTTGGGTGAACTCTCTAGATTTTGCTGCAGTTGCCATTCAGTGTTGTTCTGAGCAGGGTGTGAATGGGAACCATGCAGCTACACCTCCCAGGTCATATCTCCAGACTTTGCTTTCTCCTACTTGAACACACAGGTCCTGGCAAAGCTCACTCAGCAGCTAAGAACTCAGCAGCATGTGTGTATGTACGTCCGAGTGTCCCTGGTTCTGTCCTTGCCACCCTGGCCCCAGGATGCCTTTAGCATTCCTGTGGCTTTCCTGCACTGAGTGATATAGACTATAAGCTTCATGTGGAGCAGGGGTCTGGTTTGTGGTGTTGCTCATCACATCTAGCAGTCAGTGTGCTGGTAAAGAAAAATCTATGAGGAAAGGGCTCATAGCTGGTTGTCAGCCCTCTCAGAGGGGCACTGGGTAGCAGTCCATCAAACGAGGTCACTCACAGAGGACCAGCAGCTGCACCCCTGTTGTGCTGGGTTCATGCACAGGCTGAGCCAGGAGAGCCAGTGCCCAACAGCAAGACCTCCAGTGCTGAGGGTCTGAGCAGGGCTGTGCTGGTCCAGGGCTTCTCCGTGTTGCTCCTGTGCTCAGTTCCCACGGGTGCCCGAAGAAGGCAGAATGTCTGTCTTGAGTAGCTCATACAGTCTGCTCTGACTCCAGTATGGATCTGAGGCTAAGCTATTGTTATCACAAGGGTGACAATAAGCTCTTATTCACAGCAGAAAAGGGAGCATGGAAAGGTAATGAAATTATTTCCCAAGTGAAAAGCTGCAAGAAATGATGAGAATTTCCACAGGTACCACCTGTCCCTGTATGAGCTGTCATTTCCTGAAGTTGCCACCCTTCAACCGTGTGTGCGCTGGTTTAGGTACTCGTTCCAGGATGACGAGGATATGTTCATGGTTGTTGACCTGCTGCTCGGGGGGGATCTGCGTTACCACCTCCAGCACAACGTGCGGTTCCAGGAAGGCACTGTGAAGCTCTTCATCTGTGAGCTGGTGCTGGCCCTGGACTACCTGCAGAGCAAGCACATCATCCACAGGTCAGCCGGGACCTCGGGTGGGCTGGTGGCCACAGGCTGTGCTTGGGGCAGGATTGTTCCTCTCTGGGGTGACATGATAAATAGAAGCTTAAGAGCTAAACAAAATATTCTCCAACATACATTTGCTTTTATGTGAAACACAAGATTTCCCTGAGAAAAGCATTTCATACACGGCAGAGAGCAACTGATTTCTCCCTCTGGAGTAGCTGTGAAATAACATACTTGGTTGTCGGCTTATCCTGCAAAAAGCTGTCTCTAATAGGTTTAACTAGCTGCAGTTCATTAATATCCGTCCTGGTCCAGGGAGGGTAGGTGTCAGCACTCAGAACTCCCCTCTGACCATATTTGAAGGTGTCTCCCTTCTCCCCAATCTCTGCACTGCTCTGAAAGACAAGGGATGTGACCGAATACAGCCTTTTTCTGTGCGAGGTAAGTCCCTTCCTAGAAGTACCGAGAGTTTCTTTTTGGCTACTAAGGTTTCTCATGGCAAGGGAGAAGATGCCTGAACTCTTCCCACACCTTCGAAGACCTGCAGAATAGCAGAGGTGGGGAGAAGGTCACCTCATTTGTGCACATCACTCCAGAGGAGTGCTCTTGTGCAGTGAGGGAATAAAGCATGGTACGAACTGTAAAACTGAAATGGTGCTGGTGGGGAAGGCAGACGCTGGTGAGAGGCTGGTGAGGATGAACACGAGTTCCTATTCCCAGTGTCCTGCTGCCACGTCCGAGGTGTGAGGGCAGAGCAGCCTCTCACCTGTCCCTGCAGCCACAAGGGCACAGGGTGGTTCTGCTCTGCTGAGGTCGGGGCCAGACCTGGGGACAGCTCCCACCTTCTCAGGAGTCTCATCTTTCAGGCTGTTTGTTTTGTGCTGTACCTGCATAGATCTCTGCCCCAGCGTGAATAGGGGTGGGAGAAGCTGCAGGTAATGCTGCAATGAACATTTACACAGCTGCATGTGTTTAAGGTGAATTAAGTACAACAAAACATGTACTGCAGGCTGTAAAGTTTGCAAGTTATTTAATTAACACTGTAATGCAAGTTGTTTAATTAACATTGTAGCCCAGTGGGACAGTATTAGATTGATAAAGTGACTCATCTGAGTCAATTACACAGTAACAGCTGTAACTGGGAACATCAGGAGACAGGGAAGCAATGGCTTCGTTTGCCTGAGCAAAGCTGTGCATAGACAGCAAACCCAAGCTGGGATTATTTCCCATCTATATGTAAAAGAATGGGAAATATTATCCTTTTCAGGTTAGGAAATGTATTTGTACATTTCCTTTCTTATAATAAAAGAAATCTACAAGTAGTCAATAAGCAGAATTATCGCTGGCGGTTGTTTGCACCCTGAGACTGATCTTGCTGTGCGGGTGCAGTTCCAGAGGCTCCATGCCAGGCTGAGTGCCATCAGAAATGGCCACACTGGCATTTAAAAACAACCATTAATAAAAAGGTGGGAACAGTTCTGCTGTGCTTCTGAGGAGAGCCAGCCACTCGCCTGACTCTGCCCCGTACTCTGCCGCAGTGCCTGTCCCTGTGCCCACCTGTGTGATGAGGGTGGCACCAGGAAGGTAACTGCTGTTCATAACCCACTGGAAGTAGTTTGGGTGACTCTTGCCACAGAACTGTAAGCTGTTACACGACAGTTAGATATGTTGTGTTTTCTTGACTCCAAGTGTCTTGGTGAACTCAAACTGCACCTTAGGGATTGCATTTTTAAAGATAAAATTCTGAAGCTGCTCATTTCTTCCCTTGGCACCCCCGGACCTGGTGGGGAGCACCAGCTGGCACAGGGTCATGGCAGTGTCACCTGCCCTGTGGCTGGGACCATCTCCCTGGGGCCTGAGTGGTGCCAGCTGGGCAGGCACCGACTCAGGCTGCTGGTGCTGAATGGAGAGCAGTGTAATGAGATCATTAAAACCAGGTAATGGCTTGTAAAGTCACTCGGGTGGACACGGTGTCTGTATCAGCGGATCAGGTGTATGTCCTCTCTCTTCAAAGTGTTTCTGTTTACAGCGTTGCTATAGGGATTACTTTGTGGGCTTTTTTACTCAGGAACAAAACCTGTAGGGAACCCATTTGTTTCTAGAACAAAGATGTTAAAATAGTTTAATTTTTACTGAGTAAATGGGGAAACATTCTCAACACAGGATTGAAACAGATTGAGAAGTACAGGAGGAAAATGATAAAGAGAAGCTCTAACTGAACTGTGGGTTAACTCAGGGACTTACCTGAGTGCTGCTCGCTCAGACCCCTGAGGCTTCACAGCCCTGGCCCTGTACCCACTGCTGCTCTTTGATTAGTCACTCTCTTACACCTAAATCAAACCCTGCAGGAACATTGGAGCTGGGCAGCCCCAAGACTCTGGGGTCACCATGTCTCTGCCAGTGTGTCCCAGAGCCTGGGCTTTCCTGAAGTGTCTGCAGCTGTGTTTCCCATCACTTCTCTGGGCTAATGGCTGTCTCTCCTCTGCTTTTTTCCTCAGAGACATCAAGCCTGACAACATTTTACTGGATGAGCATGGTAAGTGCCAGCTGCTTTGTGGCTGTGTGTATGTGTAAAGGCAGATGAAGGCAGGGGAGACAAGGTGTAGTCTCAGTGCTTGCTGGTGCCCTCATTTGGTGTTGCTCTCTATCCCTCAGCTCAGCTGGGAGTGGGACCATCCCACCCTTTCGTGCTTCACTTGCTGTCCCTTGCTTTTTGAGCATCAGCATCCCATAGCTCCAGGGCAATGGGCACCCTGTGATGCTGCCTCGGTGTTTAACCAACACCTCCTTTGGCTGACTGACCTAACACTGACCATACAAGGCACTGGCAGGGACCCCACATTTGGTGCTGATAAGGATCAGTTGCCCAGCACACTCAATTTTAACAGTTTCTTGGCTCTTGCTTAAAATTTACTCAGAGTGCATCATTTAAAGAGCAATGCCCATGTCACTGCAGGGTTTGTGTACTGTGTGCTCAAACAGAATGAATTATGGTGCAATAGATAATCCTCATTCAGGCATTTTCTTTTTCCTTGAGCATCTGGCATTGAGAGGGAGCTTGGAAGAGGATTTGGTGTTGGGTATGTTATAGATGTTGCTGTCAGTTTTTCTTTAGTCATTCTTAGGCAAAACACTTGACCCACAGGACTCTGTAGTCACTTTATTTTCCTGGCAAAGCTTTTGCTGTGAAAAGTCATCTGATATTTATTAGCTTTTACCTCATTAGAGAAACACTTTGTCATCTCATATTTTTTAAAAATCCCCCTAACTGTCTTGTTGTGAAAAATTAGCAGCTACAGCAAGGTGCTCGGAGAGAAAAAGCTGGTGCAGGGAAGAGGTGTATCTGCGTTCGTGGTCATTCAGAGGTTGTGGCAGAGCTGCTGCAGCTCTGTGGCCACGTGTGTGACCAGGGTTGCCTGGCAGCACCGAGCTCGACCCATCTGCACACAGCCTCTCATTTCAGAGCCCTGGATGATTATTTATTCAGGAGCTCGCAGCAAAGCCGCTCCAGGTGCTGGAGGCTCTATCCTGCCCCGCTCAGTCCTGCTCTGACTGTTGTCCCATGCCCAGAGGGTACAGAGCCCTCTCCTCCTGGATGTGCCAGGGCCCTGCTCCCCCAGCCTGGCTCCTGGCACTGTGGGGCTGCCTTTTGTCTGGCTTTGCTGTCTGACACCCCAGGGACTCATCACCACTCTCCCAGAACCTCTGCGCCCCTCAGACTGCTGTGACACAGCCACTTGAGAAGACTTGAGATCACCATGGCCATGGGAATGTAGGTCAACACTCCCTGAGAGGGGAAAAACTGGAGAGAAAGGCTCTGCTCATCCCTGCAATTGCATTCAGCCCAGGAGGATGCAACCTGCAATCTTCTATAATGACACTGCAATTCAGGATGACTTTGAGCCTGTTCTCTGCTCACTGTGATGTTTTACCTGTCTCTTGCAGAGATTTCAGAGCTTTTTTTTTTTCTGAGGACATACCACACATTCCAATGTTCTTCTGTCTGTCACTTGTAGTATTCCTTTTCTTCACCCATGGCAGCAAAGGTGTGTCTTCCCAGGCATACAGAAAGCCTTGGGCACACACACAGTTCAATTTTTTCTTGTCCCCAGAGCAGCTGTTACTGCAGCTGCATGTTTATCTATATTTAGTCTAGTAGATCATGGTTGGTTTTCAGCATCGCTTTCCCTGTGGAACAGAGCTGCAGCTCTCCATTCCCTCTCCTCTCCCATCACCAGGCGTTCACAGCTGGGATCACAGAACAGATGCTATTTGCTAGGCATCATTTTTGTTATAATGTTCTTGTTTGGGACTTGTCCCCTGAGAGTATGAAGCACTTGAAGACCTTCAGCAGTCAGAGTTCAGTCCTTCATTTTTTATACTCCTCTTGTCCCCTAATTCTGCCTTTTGGCCCTCTCCCATTTCAGCTGTGAAGCTGCTTTCCAGCTGAGACTCCTTCACCTTTCAGATTCAGGTTTGGAAAGGCTTACAGCTGTTACAGATCCCAGAACCCTTTTTGTGGGTGTTAATGGCCAAGGAGGCTGCAGGAGCCTTTGTGCACATCACCTGATTTTTGCAGGAGGCTGCTTCTCATGATGCCACAGGTTGGTTGAAGTGTGTTATCTTGGACCTGACACACACCTCACACTTTTGTCTCCACCACCCTGGCTGTGATGTTCTGGATTACCATATCAATTTCAGCCAAGGAATTAACATGAGCCATACGGTGGAATATCAGGCAAATGCCTTTCCTTGCAGCCCACAGAGCTATTGCTCGACATGAGATTGTGATCAGGGCCCCCAGTGCCAAGCCCTCAGCAGCTGATCACCCCCAGCAGTCACTGCAAGCACAGAGTGATTCCTCTCTGTCAGACGGAGAGATGTGCTCTCGTGCAGCACATGTCCCACCCCTGTGTCACTGTGTGGGGCTGCTCCGCTCACCCACAGAGGTTCAGTGAGCAGGGAATGATAAACTGAGTGCCTGAAACAAAAGGCAGGTCAAAGAGCAGGCAGGAGCTAGGTGGGAGCATTTGCCTCGTTATCTGCTTTTCGGTTCACAGCAGCAGCTGAGTGTGTTGGAGCTGTGGCAGCAGAGCCTGTTGCCACCCCGAGGGAGATTGGTGATGTTTGAATTTCTGCACAAGGCTCCTTGGGTGGCTGCCAAAGGTGTTTGGTTCCATTCTAGGGATATCCTCTAAAGAGGGAAATGGAGACAGCGCTCAGTACCTGGCACACCAAAGGGCGACAACTAGAAAGCCAAACATCAAGGCTTATTTATTTTTGTTTTTTAAAACATAGCAGGTTTTTTTCTTCTGTGGAAAAGTTCAGTTCTCTTTCCCCCTGAAATTTAGGAAGACTCAAAACAATCAAGAACCCCCATGTTTTTGCTGCCAAAGGGACCATAAGGGAATATTTGAACCAACAAGAGACACCTGTAAGCAGCCTGCAAACTGAAAGGTTTTCTATCCATTCTCCCACCAGAGCACTTTTTCCCTGGAAACTCCTTCGCATGGAGTTTTTTACTTTATGTTTCTTGTGTGAAATTATTGGCACAGGTTACAGGTTAACCTCTGTCTTTCAGGACACGTGCACGTCACGGATTTCAACATCGCCACGATGCTGACGGAGGAGATCCAGGTCACCACCATCGCTGGCACGAAGCCCTACATGGGTGAGAAGCAATGGCAGTTGTGTGTGCTTGAGTCACCATTTCTGGGCTGGGGTTGACTGCCGTGGTGAAGGCAAAGTCCTTTTTGGTGAGAGTTTGAATTCTTTTCTCCTGGTCTATACCAAAATGTACATCTTGATTTGAAATGAGGAGCACCCTGTGAGGGACTGCAGGGCAGGGACAGTTCCTCCCCAGAAATGCCTCAGGGCAGCTGGGGAACGTGTCCACCTATGGATCCACACGCAGACTGGTGCAAACATACCATGAGCATGGATTTTAGTGCCATGATGCCACGCTCTGTGGCATGGGTTTGATTATAAACTCAGATAGTTGCACTCCTGAGATCGCTGACTATTTCACGAGCATCAGTCACACTCCTGCTACCCTTGAGAAGGGAAATGAAGCACCAAGGTTTGTATTTGTGCCCTCAGTACATCAGCACAAGTCTTACCCTGATGCATCACTAGCAATAATTTGAATTTTTATACAAAATGGCTGCTTTAAAAACTAGCATTACTCTGTGTTTAGGCCAAGTGAGTGGTTTTAAGAAAGCATTGTTCCTGGTGTTGTTGTTTTTAGAGCAATTCTCGCCTCCCAACTTGCACAAAAATCCTAAAGTGTTTTTTTCCCTCGCTCTCAAAAGGGAAATTTATTGGCTAAGAAAGAACATTTCAGTCAGTGCCTCCCCCTGCTTCCCATTAGCCTCCCCCTAAAAAGCTGTGGCTCTCAGGCTTCGTTCAGTTAACATTTGTTTTTCCCTGCCAAGGGTGCAGTTGGCACCACGACTGCATTTACGCTGCATATTAATGTTTGCAAGGAGCTGCTTTCATTTACGGCTGAGACTGGATTTGAGCTCTGCCAGATTGAGGTGCTTTAAATATGAACAAAGAGATGTGTGGGATGGGAGCAGCTTCCCAACATGCAGATCTGCTGAGCATTGCCTGGGGCAGGCGAGGAGACCCAGGCCAGTCTGTGCCTAGATTGAGTGAATTAGGGCCACTCCTTCTCCTGGAGCTCATTTACTGTGGATGATGGGCAACTTCTGTGTCAGTAAAAGGAATTTGTTCTTTTGGGGCTTTGGGGACAGAGAAGCACTGAAAGGTCCACGTGGAGGCTCCGTGGGCTGTCAAGTGCCCTGGCACAGGAGCGTGGGAAGGGTGTGGGTCAGGTGTTCTGGTTTCGTCAATTCCACTCAGGATTGCAGCAAGGCAAACTTTCTGTTCCCTGTATCTCACAGCACCTGAAATGTTTAACTCCACAAAACCCACGGGCTACTCCTTCGCTGTGGACTGGTGGTCCCTGGGAGTCACTGCCTACGAGCTGCTCAGGACCAGGGTACGTGTGTGGCTCCGTCCTTGGGCTCGCTGCCGGGAAAGGTTTTGCTTTAGAGCAGGGATGAGAGGGCCAAGCTGGATTCAAGGCTTTAGGGGTTATTACAGTGTAGGAGACCACATCTTCACCAGGTTTCCTGTGATCATGGCTAAGAGCTCAGAGAAGCTGCTGCAACGCAGGACAGCATACTGTGGAGGTTCCCTACTGAGGCCAAGGGTCTCTGGGTTGACCCAGCAGGGCAAGGCAAACAAACAACAGCTCCTGAGGTCTGGGCTGCAATGTCCTTTACTTGGAGTGCCCATCCTGCAAGGAAAATACCCAAAACCTTGAAAAAACTCTTGTTACTGCTGTACCAAGACTGAGCAGTTGGAGAAAATGATGGACCAAGCCCATCCTGTCTGTGCTGTGAGGGCTCTGCTGCTGGCTTGGTAAGGTTGGGGGCCTTGTAGACAGACAAGCACATTAGGGTTCTGGAAGTGTTGTGTAAAAAAGGGGGACAAAACTTTAAAAATTAAATTACATTTTTCATGTGCTTAGAAGAATGCAAAGAAGAATGTTTGAAATATTGTGAGGGTCAGAAACATCTTTCAGTATGAGTATGCAAAACATGTTTTTTTAAAACTTTATCATCAGCCTTTGCAGAATGCCTAAAAATGTTTTGGTGAGCAGATATTCAGATGAATTTGTGTATCTCAGATGGTGAGGGATCAGGTTAGCAGACACTCTGGCTGTCTGACCTGCTGGTAACTGAAGCCACCTGTGAATACCTTCATGCAATATTTGTGTTTCCCGTCGATAATTCTAAATGAGTGGCAGGACTGTGCACACGTTGTTTCTCAGCTCTGAGGCACTGTTTCCAGAGGCAGGGGCAGAAATGCTGTTAGGTGCTCCCCCCTGATGGCACAGCCATGGCAAGGTGGTGGCACTGGGTGTCTGCTGGGCTGGGGGAGTGAAGGGAGACCTTGCACACGTCGAGCACACAGCTCCTGATCTGAGCCCACTGTTCATAGCTGCTGCTCTGAAATGCACATTTAACACCCTCCCCCCAAAACAAGGTGAAAATCTGGGAGTCAAACCTTTCCAAATGGAAACATTTCGTAATCCTAAATTCTCTCTCCGGGTCAGGCAGCAGTATTACTGTATCTGGGAGACACACAGGGAGATGATTTCACCTGTGCAGTGCCAGCACTGCCCCGGGTGCTCTGCTGCTGCCACAGCTCCCCCGTCCCTGGGCCATGGCCGCAGGGCAGAAGGGACAGTCACCCTGCAGTCTGACGTGGGCTGGGGACCCTTCCTGGGATTTGATCAGTGGGAGAAATCCAGCTCCGTTTCACTGGCATTGTCCCCCTACTCGTGACACATTTACAGGGAATATTGGGAATGCCCTAACCACAGCACTGTGTCACAGCCTTGTCAGGTACAAACACTGAAAAGGCCAAGCAAACACACTCTGGCTGATGACTCTGATTTCTGGGGTTGGCTCCTGCCTGTCCCCAGTTATGACTGTAGTTCTGCCTGACATTTTGTGAGGGTCACACAGGGAGAGATGTCCCGTGGGAGACTGGGGACTGTCCAGAGAGACTGTGTGAAGCTTCTGTGCTCTGAACAGATTTCCCAAGGAGGCTGAAACAGCGGAGAAACTCAAGTGCTTTCCTTGTGGTGTTTCCCACAGAGGCCATACCGTATTCGCTCCCACAGCTCCACGAAGGACGTGGCTCAGGTGTTCAGGACAGCCAGGGTGATGTACCCCGCGGTGTGGTCCCCGGGCATGGTGTCGCTCATCCAGAAGGTGAGGGTGGCCGTGGGCACGTGAGGGGCTGGGCATGGTGCTCCTGCAGGATGCCTGGGGAGCGCCCGGGCCAGGGAGAGCTGCAGACAGGCCGCGAGCCCTCGGCAGGCAGCGCTGGC